CCGGGAGATCATTTACATATATCAGAAACAAGATAGGACCGAGTACAGAGCCCTGTGGGACTCCACTGGTGACTTAACGCCAATCGGAGGTCTCACCCCTCACCGTAACTCTCTGATTCCTATTGCTTAGGTGCTCCCTTATCCACTGGAGCACCTTACCAGCTACACCTGCCTGTCTCTCCAGCTTATGTACCAGCCTCTTATGCGGTACTGTGTCAAAGGCTTTCCGACAATCCAAGAAAATGCAGTCCGCCCAGCCCTCTCTTTCTTGCTTAATCTGTGTTACCTGGTCATAGAATTCTATTAAGCCAGTCAGGCAAGATTTACCCTCCCTGAACCCATGTTGTCGATTTGTCACGAAGTTCCTTCTCTCCAGATGTGCTACCAGGTTTTTTCTCACGATCTTCTCCATCACCTTGCATGGTATACAAGTTAAGGACACTGGCCTGTAGTTCAGTGCCTCTTGCCTGTCGCCCTTTTTGTATATTGGGACCACATTCGCCGTCTTCCATAGTTCTGGTAGGTCTCCCGTCTCCAGTGACCTACTATACACTATGGAGAGTGGCAAGCAAAGGGCCTCTGCACACTCTTTCAGTACCCATGGCGAGATCCCGTCTGGACCAACAGCCTTTCTAACATCCAGGTCCAGCAGGTGTCTCTTGACCTCCTCTCTCGTAATTTCAAACTCTTCCAAGGCCGCCTGGTTTACTTCTCTTTCTCCTAGCACAGTGACCTCACCTTGTTCTGTTGTGAAGACCTCTTGGAACCTCTTGTTGAGTTCATCACACACCTCTTTGTCATTCTCTGTATACCTGTCCTCGCCTGTTCTAAGTTTCACTACCTGTTCTTTCACTGTTGTTTTCCTTCTGATGTGACTGTGGAGTAGCTTTGGTTCGGTCTTGTCTTTGTTTGCTATATCATTTTCATAACTTTTCTCTGCTTCTCTTCTCACCCTGACGTACTCATTCCTGGTTCTCTGGTATCTCTCTCTGCTTTCTGGTGTTCTGTTATTCCGGAAGTTCCTCCACGCCCTTTTGTTCAGTACCTTTGCTTCCATACATGCCCTATTATACCATGGATTCTTCTTTTGCTTCTCGGATTTTTCCTTTTGGGCCGGGATGTATCTGCTTACTGCCTCCTGACACTTTTGGGTGACATAGTCCATCATATCTTGTACAGACGTAGCTCTGAGGTCTGTGTCCCAAGGTATTTCCCTTAGGAAGCTTCTCATCTCCTCATAATTTCCCTTTCGGTATGCCAGCCTTTTGTTTCCTAGTTCTTTTTTGGGGGGGATAATTCCTAGCTCTACCAGGTACTCAAAGTTCAATACACTGTGATCACTCATTCCCAAGGGTGCTTCCATCTTGACTTCCCTTATATCCCACTCATTTAGGGTAAATATCAGGTCAAGCATTGCTGGTTCATCCTCTCCTCTCATTCTTGTTGGATCCTTGATGTGCTGGCTTAGAAAGTTTCTTGTTGCCACGTCCAGCAGCTTAGCTCTCCATGTTTCTGGTCCTCCATGCGGGTCTCTGTTCTCCCAATCTATCTTCCCATGGTTGAAGTCTCTCATGATTAGTATTCCAGATCCATTCCTGCTAGCAACAGAAGTTGCTCTCTCTATTATGTTAATGGTGGCCATATTGTTTCTATCATATCTTCATGTCTGGGTCTTCTGTCATTTGGTGGTGGATTATATATGACTACGACTATAATTTTTTGCCCTCCAGTTGTTATTGTTCCTATTATGTGTGTGAGTGTGTGTGTGTGTGTACTCACCTAGTTGTACTCACCTAGTTGTGTTTGCGGGGGTTGAGCTCTGGCTCTTTGGTCCCGCCTCTCAACCGTCAATCAACAGGTGTACAGATTCCTGAGCCTATCGGGCTCTGTCATATCTACACTTGAAACTGTGTATGGAGTCAGCCTCCACCACATCACCCCCTAATGCATTCCAGTTGTCAACCACTCTGACACTAAAAAAGTTCTTTCTAATATCTCTGTGGCTCATTTGGGCACTCAGTTTCCACCTGTGTCCCCTTGTGCGTGTTCCCCTTGTGTTAAATAGACTGTCTTTATCTACCCTATCAATTCCCTTCAGAATCTTGAATGTGTGTGTGTGTGTGTGTGTGTGTGTGTGTGTGTGTGTGTGTGTGTGTGTGTGTGTGTGTGTGCGCGCGCGCGCGCGTGTGTGTGTACTCACCTATTTGTACTCACCTATTTGTGCTTGCGGGGGTTGAGCTCTGGCTCTTTGGTCCCGCCTCTCAACTGTCAAACAACAGGTGTACAGGTTCCTGAGCCTACTGGGCTCTATCATATCTACATTTGAAACTGTGTATGGAGTCAGCCTCCACCACATCACTGTCTAATGCATTCCATCCGCTAACTACTCTGACACTGAAAAAGTTCCTTCTAACGTCTCTGTGGCTCATGTGGGTACTCAGTTTCCACCTGTGTCCCCTTGTTTGCGTCCCACCAGTGTTGAATAGTTTATCCTTGTTTACCCGGTCGATTCCCCTGAGGATTTTGTAGGTTGTGATCATGTCTCTTCTTACTCTTCTGTCTTCCAGTGTCGTAAGGTGCATTTCCCGCAGCCTTTCCTCGTAACTCATGCCTCTTAGTTCTGGGACTATTCTAGTGGCATACCTTTGGACTTTTTCCAGCTTCGTCTTGTGCTTGACAAGGTACGGGCTCCATGCTGGGGCCGCATACTCCAGGATTGGTCTTACATATGTGCTATACAAGGTTCTGAATGATTCCTTACACAGGTTCCTGAACGCTGTTCTGATGTTAGCCAGCCTCGCATATGCCGCAGACGTTATTCTTTTTATGTGGGCTTCAGGAGACAGGTTTGGTGTGATATCAACTTCTAGATCTTTCTCTCTGTCCGTTTCATTAAGTACTTCATCTCCAATTCTGTATCCTGTGTCTGGCCTCCTGTTTCCACTGCCTAGTTTCATTACTTTGCATTTACTCGGGTTGAACTTCAACAGCCATTTGTTGGACCATTCACTCAGTCTGTCTAGGTCATCTTGTAGCCTCCTACTATCATCCTCAGTTTCAATCCTCCTCATAAGTTTTGCATCATCGGCAAACATTGAGAGAAACGATTCTATACTCTCTGGGAGATCATTTACATATATCAGAAACAGTATAGGTCCAAGGACTGACCCCTGCGGGACTCCACTCGTAACGTCTCGCCAATCTGAGACCTCACCCCTCACACTGACTCGTTGTCTCCTGTTGCTTAGGTACTCCTTTATCCAACGGAGTACCTTCCCTTGCACTCCAGCCTGCATCTCCAGCTTTTTCACTAGCCTCTTGTGTGGCACTGTATCGAAGGCTTCCTGACAATCCAAAAATATGCAGTCTGCCCACCCTTCTCTTTCTTGCCTTATTTTTGTTGCCTGGTCGTAGAACTCAAGTAACCCTGTGAGGCAGGACCTGCCATCCCTGAACCCATGTTGATGCTGTGTTACAAAGTTCTTTCGCTCCAGGTGCTTCACTAGCTTTCTTCGCACAATCTTCTCCATCAGCTTGCATGGTATGCAGGTTAGGGACACTGGCCTGTAATTCAGTGCCTCCTGTCTATCCCCTTTCTTGTATATCGGGACTACGTTAGCTGCTTTCCAAATATCTGGCAGTTCCCCTGTTGCCAGTGATTTGTTATACACTATGGAGAGTGGGAGGCACAGTTCTTCTGCTCCTTCCTTTAGTATCCAAGGGGAGATTCCATCTGGGCCTATAGCCTTTGTCACATCCACCTTTAGTAAACACTTCCTTACTTCCCCGCTGGTAATCTCAAACTCTTCCAGTGGTTCCTGGTTAGCTATTCCCTCTCTTATCTCTGGGATTTCTCCTTGCTCTAAGGTGCTCTCAAGTATCCTGTTATTCCTATAGTTTCTCCATGCCCTTTTACTTTGCTGCTTAGCTAGCCTACATCTCTGATTAAACCATGGGTTTTTCATCTTCATTTCACTGTTTTCCTTTTGGGCTGGGACAAACTTGTTTGCTGCGTCCTTGCACTTCTGCGTGATGTAGTCCATCATATCTTGGGCCGTCTTTTCCCTGAGCTCTGTTTTCCATGCTTTTTCTGTTAAGAATTTTCTTATCTCCTCATAGTTTCCCTTTCGGTATGCTAACCTTTTGGTTTCGGTATCCCTCCTCGAGTTCAATAACCCTTCTTCAATCAGGTACTCAAACACCAGTACACTGTGGTCGCTCATTCCTACTGGGGCCTTAAAACCGATTTCTCTTATGTCAGAGTCGTTCAGGGTGAAGACCAGGTCGAGTCTCGCTGGTTCGTCATTTCCTCTCATCCTTGTGGGTTCTCTGACATGCTGGGTTAAGAAGTTTCTAGTCACCACCTCCAATAGTTTGGCCCTCCACGTATCCTCGCCTCCATGCGGTTCCTTGTTCTCCCAGTCAATCCTTCCGTGATTGAAGTCTTCCCACGATGAGCAGGTGGGATCTATTTCTACAGGCAGCAGAGGCTGCCCTCTCAATTATAGTGGCTGTGTGTGTGTGTGTGTGTGTGTGTGTGTGTGTGTGTGTGTGTGTGTGTGTGTGTGTGTGTGTGTGTGTGTGTGTGCGCGCGTTAGTGTGTGGTAGTGATCATGTGTTACTATGTATGTTACAGCAGATCAGAGGAACATGTAATAACACTTCTCTTGATAGTGAACCTTAGTGGCCTCTGTGTGCAGTTTGTCACTAACCACTTGCTCACACTATCCACTTGAGGCCAATTTCTCCTAACCCTACCTAGCTAGTTATACTATCCCCACTCCACACTATTCCTGCTATCACACTAACACACTAGTCAGTGTTATCCACACTCTCACACTTCCACACTATCCACCACTGTATACTATCTATCTATTTACTATCTACATACCTATCCACTATCTACATACCTATCCACCTGCGTCACTCCTAGACAGGGAAGACCCACTAGCTATATCCGCTTCTCTATCGACTTAATCCATCCTATCCGCACAGGTCGGGTGGGTGAAGGCGGATACGAAGGCCATCCAGGCCATCCACACCCACGTCATCACCCACAATCCACGCGTCCACGTCAGTTACGACGACCATTCGACGTGGCACCTGCTGATCAAGCAGGTGACGGAGGAGGACAAGGGTCCCTACATGTGTCAGATCAACACCGACCCCATGATCAGTCAGGTGAGTCTACAGTGTCACCTGCTGGCTCGCCACAGTGTCTAGTGTCACCTGCTGGCTCGCCACGGTGTCTAGTGTCACCTGCTGGCTCGTCACGGTGTCTAGTGTCACCTGCTGGCTCGCCTGGTGTCTAGTGTCACCTGCTGGCTCGCCACGGTGTCTAGTGTCACCTGCTGGCTCGCCTGGTGTCTAGTGTCACCTGCTGGCTCGCCACGGTGTCTAGTGTCACCTGCTGGCTCGCCACGGTGTCTAGTGTCACCTGCTGGCTCGCCTGGTGTCTAGTGTCACCTGCTGGCTCGCCACGGTGTCTAGTGTCACCTGCTGGCTCGCCTGGTGTCTAGTGTCACCTGCTGGCTCGCCTGGTGTCTAGTGTCACCTGCTGGCTCGCCACGGTGTCTAGTGTCACCTGCTGGCTCGCCTGGTGTCTAGTGTCACCTGCTGGCTCGCCACGGTGTCTAGTGTCACCTGCTGGCTCGCCACGGTGTCTAGTGTCACCTGCTGGCTCGCCACGGTGTCTAGTGTCACCTGCTGGCTCGCCACGGTGTCTAGTGTCACCTGCTGGCTCGCCTGGTGTCTAGTGTCACCTGCTGGCTCGCCACGGTGTCTAGTGTCACCTGCTGGCTCGCCTGGTGTCTAGTGTCACCTGCTGGCTCGCCACGGTGTCTAGTGTCACCTGCTGGCTCGCCACGGTATCTAGTGTCACCTGCTGGCTCGCCACGGTGTCTAGTGTCACCTGCTGGCTGGCCACGGTGTCGGGTGTCACGTGCTGGCTCGCCACGGTGTCTAGTGTCACCTGCTGGCTCGCCACGGTGTCTAGTGTCACCTGCTGGCTCGCCACGGTGTCGGGTGTCACCTGCTGGCTCGCCACAGTGTCTAGTGTCACCTGCTGGCTCGCCACGGTGTCTAGTGTCACCTGCTGGCTCGCCACGGTGTCGGGTGTCACCTGTTGCCTTACGACAGTGTCATATGGTGTCACTAAACATAATTCTACTGTACATTTCCCCATATAAGTTACCTAGAGCTTGAGTGACACTCAAGCAAGCAAGTTCTAACTCAAGTGACACCTCGTGGAACATGTATATGTGGCCCTTAAGCGCCGACAATAGTCTCATCAGGTCAGGTATACATATATACCTGACTGAGCTTAATGTGGCTCCAGGTGTGTGGTTTTCCCGGTCAATTAGCAGGGGCAGGTAAGGTATATTGACCCTCGTGCCTGTATCATGCTGCCAGTTCGGTTATATTGATCCTGGTCAACATTTTTATTATGAATATTATTAACCACTGCTATAATGTCCTCTTTAATATTTGTTAACCAAGGCTGGAGTCTTAGTTAACTATCACTTCACCTTCAGAAACGCATAATATACATGTATACATGTCAACACATACAGGAATGTAAACACGATACATAAACGTATGTGTCCGCGGGCAACAGGTCAATAATACACATACAAGTATCCTTGACCCTCTAAAATGTTGAGTAATGTGTGTCTATGTATGTGTGTCTATGTATGTGTGTCTATGTATGTGTGTCTATGTATGTATTAACACCATGTACTGAACGGGGTGAGAATAGCTTGAGCTACCTCATCCCTTTGTGTGTATTTTACCTCAATAAACTTATTTCAATTTCAATTTCTAAACTGTGTGTCCTGGACACAGCATAGTTGCCACCCTGGCCCTCAAACAACCATCATTTTTACCACGTGTCCATAATTGCCTTGTTACTGGGCAGTTTGCTCCAGCATCCACACCGTATCTCATCCCAAAGATTCAACCAGCATCCTTCCTCTAGGGGAAAATCCTGTGAAAAGTTTAAGTTTCAATATTTTTTTGTCTATATCAATTTTTTGGGGGGTCTTAAAGGTTGTTCTGTTATGGACGCTGTTGGTGTCTGTTCTTAAGAGTTGGGTGTTATGTCTGTGGAGTTTCTTGTGATCAATGTTCTTCAAGTTGGGGAAAAAGAGTTTCCTTACTTGTGTTTGGAAGCTCTTTATAACTGTTGAAGTGGTCTTGTGGCTCTTGTCTGTACTCGTCTACCCTGCGTGACACTCTCAGATCATCTGCCCAGTCTCTTAGTCTCTCAGCTCTTGAGTCTGTCCTCATATCCCAGTTTTTGAGTCTGTCCTCATATCTCAGTTCTTAGTCTGTCCTCATATCTCAGCTCTTAATCTCTCCTCTTATCTCAGCTCATAGTCTGTCCTCATATCTCAGCTCTTGAGTCTGTCCTCATATCTCAGTTCTTAGTCTGTCCTCATATCTCAGCTCTTGAGTCTGTCCTCATATCTCAGCTCTTGAGTCTGTCCTCATATCTCAGTTCTTAGTCTGTCCTCATATCTCAGCTCTTGAGTCTGTCCTCATATCTCAGTTCTTAGTCTGTCCTCATATCTCAGCTCTTGAGTCTGTCCTCATATCTCAGTTCTTAGTCTGTCCTCATATCTCAGCTCTTGAGTCTGTCCTCATATCTCAGCTCTTGAGTCTGTCCTCATATCTCAGCTCTTGAGTCTGTCCTCATATCTCAGCTCTTGAGTCTGTCCTCATATCTCAGCTCTTGAGTCTGTCCTCATATCTCAGCTCTTGAGTCTGTCCTCATATCTCAGCTCTTGAGTCTGTCCTCATATCTCAGCTCTTGAGTCTGTCCTCATATCTCAGCTCTTGAGTCTGTCCTCATATCCCAGCTCTTGAGTCTGTCCTCATATCTCAGCTCTTGAGTCTGTCCTCATATCTCAGCTCTTGAGTCTGTCCTCATATCTCAGCTCTTGAGTCTGTCCTCATATCTCAGTTCTTAGTCTGTCCTCATATCTCAGCTCTTGAGTCTGTCCTCATATCTCAGCTCTTGAGTCTGTCCTCATATCCCAGCTCTTGAGTCTGTCCTCATATCCCAGTTCTTAGTATCTCCTCTTATCTCAGCTCTTAGTCTGTCCTCATATCTCAGCTCTTGAGTCTGTCCTCATCATTTACTCATCACAAGAATCAAGATGGGGAAACACTCATCACAGGACTCTTTAAGAGCATGATTGTGTTTGGCGGGAAGATGATGGTTGGTGTTGGATATGCCGGTGAGCCTTCCCCCTCTCCCTTGCCCAACAGCTTCAGTAATGCCCCAGCCAGGACCATGGCCAATAACTGCACCAATAACACACACACCCTCTCGCTCGGGAAGGAAACAAAAGAAAAAAAATGGCCGCTGTGAATGTCTCTGGCATGAGAAATTGTTTGTAAATGCATTTTCGGGCGCGATAAGTCTGTTGGCGTGTGAGTATTGGCTGAGGGCGGACGTGACCGGCCTTCCCGCCACGGGCGCCGGGTGGAGCGGCGCCCTCACACTCTTGGCGGGAAAGTAGCCCGGGGGAGCCGCCTTTAGTCTCTCACTTATTACTTCTCTTGGTGTGGTGGATTGTGGCGGTTGATGGTGGTCGCGGTGGTGTAGCCTGTTCTTGTTGATCATGCCCGCTTGCCCGTTAATCTATAGCCTGCTAAATCAGCCTGGACCCAGGTTCACGAAGCAGTTATGCAAGCATTTACGAATCTGTACATCTTTCCTCAATCTTTGACGGTTTTGGCTACATTTATTAAACAGTTTACAAGCATGAAAACTTGCCAATTAACTGTTGTTATTGTTATAAACAGCCTCCTGGTGCTTCGGAGCTCATTAACTGTTTAATAATTGTAAACAAAGCCTCCAAAGATTGAGGAAAGATGTATAGGTTCGTAAGTGCTTGCGTAACTGCTTCGTGAATCTGGCCCCTGTTTAAGAACCATTGTTGGATAACCAAAAACGGATATTTTTGTAATATAAATTAACTTTAATGTGTATTATATTTTCACGCATACTTAGGCCTAAGATAGGTTAGGTGTTTTTGTCGTATTTGTAAACGTTTGTGTTTGTGGGTTTTAAACTACAGCAGGGACAGATGATCAGGGCAAAGGGGGTGGGGACCTATGACAAGTTGCCGGCTTCCTGTCCTCATCTAGGCCACTAGTATTAGTGGCCCACAGGTAAATTCAGGTATTTGAGTGAAGCTTTTAGAGATACGATGAAAACATGATAAATTAGGCTTCACCTTCGTACTAAAACTTCAAATAATTCTTCACCTAAGTTATTCCTGTACACAAACTTATATACATATTTATAAATTTATATAGCAGTCCCCGTGGATCAGTGGGAAGACACTCGCTCGGCACTTCGCGAGCGATTTGGCCTGGGTTCGTATCCTGTGCGGGGAGGATTGACTGGACGCCAGTCCTTAACTGTTCGCCACTGTTCACCCAGCAGTATTCACCTAGTTGTGCTTGCGGGGGTTGAGCTCTGGCTCTTTGGTCCCGCCTCTCAACCGTCAATCAACTGGTGTACAGGTTCCTGAGCCTATTGGGCTCTTATCATATCTACACTTGAAACTGTGTATGGAGTCAGCCTCCACCACATCACTGCCTAATGCATTCCACCTGTTAACTACTCTGACACTGAAAAAAATTATTATAATGTCTCTGTGGCTCATTTGGGTACTAAGTTTCCACCTGTGTCCCCTTGTTCGTGTCCCACCCATGCTAAATGGTTTGTCTTTGTCCACCCTGTCAATTCCCCTGGGAATTTTGTAGGTGGTTATCATGTCTCCCCTTACTCTTCTGTCTTCCAGGGACGTGAGGTTTAGCTTCCGTAGCCTTTCCTCGTAGCTCATACCTCTCAGTTCTGGGACTAGTCTGGTGGCATACCTCTGAATCTTCTCTGACTTTGTCTTGTGTTAAACTAGGTATGGACTCCAGGCTGGAATTGCATACTCAGGATTGGTCTTACATAAGTGGTATACAGGGTTCTGAAAGATTCCTTACACAAGTTTCTAAAGGCAGTTCTTATATTGGCCAAGCTAACCTATTCCGCTGATGATATCCTTTTGATGTGGGCCTTTGGGGACAGGTTCGGTGTGATATCAACCCCCAGATCTTTCTCTCTATTTGACTCTTGCAGGATATCACCTCCCAGATGGTACCTTGTGTTCACC